CTTACCAGGACTTGACTTTATAGAGAAATTTGCTTAGATAAATTCAGTAGTATAATATTGAAATGCATTCATTAGCACTTTGATAAAATTACATCCTTGACTAAGAATTCATAGAAAGTAAACAGCATTATTTGAAAAAATAAATTTTCAGAATTGTAAACAAACAAAACAATAAAGTATAATTCTAGCATTATATTTGTTTTCATTAAAAATACATATGGATATTATACATTTAAAAGTAAAAGTCATGGCCAGTATTGTGGCATAATAGGTTAGCTGCCACCTGCCATGCCGGCATCCTATATGGGCACCAGTTCATGTACCAGATGTTCCTCTTCCAATCCTGCTCCCTGCTAATGGCCTGGGAAAAGCAGAAGATGGCCAAGTGTTTGGGCCCCCACACCCATGTGAGTGACCTGGATGAAGCTCTTGGCTCTTAGCTTTGGCTTGGCCCAGCACTGGCTTTTGTGGCCATCTGGGGATAAACCAACAGATGGACAATTTCTCTTTCTATCTCTCACATTCTCTCTGAAACTCCGTCGTTCAAATAAATAAATCTTAAAAAGAGAAAAAAAAGTAAAAGCCTCTGCCCAAGTACGTTTTAGGCATTTTAACAATTTTCCTATAACTTTCCACAAATACTCTGTATAATCAACATTATACAAAGCATATACTCATATTTTATTTATTCAAATCTGCTGGTGAAATATGTACTATTCTACTTCTAGTTATTTTAACTTAATATTTATTTGAAATAATTCTACAGAAGTAGATATAAATATGCACAAGTTCTGAATGCTATATTATATCCTATGCAGAATATGCCATAATCAATCAATCATATTTAATAGATATTTGGATTTTAGTACTGAGGTACTGAGTATATAATTTTAAATCGCATTATAATTTACATCAAGAATTGACTGAGTCATAAATAAAATTACAATTTTAAGGTTTTTTTTTTTTTTTAAGTCAAAGCACACATGAGAATTTTCTCAAGATCAAATAGAAGAGAAAGACAGCCCAATTAATTTACTCTAGAAAAATGGGAGATGGTATTGTGGGACAGCATGTGAACCTGTTGCCTGTGATACCAACATCCTACATCTGAGTGCCAATTCAAGTCTCGGCTGCTGTACTTCCAATTCAACTTACTGCTAATGTGCCTCAGAAAGCAGCAGCAAATGATACCAGTACTTGGGTCCCTGCTACCCCATGTTGGAGTCCTGGATTATGTTCCTAACTCCTGGCTTCAGCCTGGCCAAGTTATGGCTGTTGCAGCCATTTGGGGAATGAATCAGCAGAGGGAGGGACTTTTTTATTCTTTTTTTCTTTCTGTCTTTCAAATACAAAGTTGTTGCTGATGTTGTTGTTGTTGTTACTATTATTATTATTTTAGTTCAACAATTAAGGGGTAAAGTCTTGGTTGGCCAAATTAAGTAAAATAATGCCTGTGAAACCAGTAGTTCATTGTTTACATGTTTTTTTAAAGATTTATTTTGTTTATTTGAAAGTCAGAGTTATACAAAGAGAGGAGATGCAGAGAGAGGAGAGGGAGAAAAGTATTCTACCTGATGGTTCACCCCCAAATTGGCTGCAATGGCCAGAGCTGTGCTGATCTGAAGCCAGGAGCCAGGAGCTTCTTCTGGGTCTCCCACCAAGTGCAGGGGCCCAAGGACTTGGGCCATCTTGTACTGCTTTCCCAGGCCATAGCAGAGAGCTGGATCAAAAGTGGAGCAGCCAGGTCTCGAACCGGTGCCCATATGGGATGGCAGTGCTTCAGGTCAGGGCGTTAACTCGCTGTACCACAGCGCTGACCCCTATTGTTCACATATTAATCAGGGCTGAACCACACTCATTTTGGAAGCAGGCAAGAGATGGTTTAGGATCAGCGCAGCACCGGCCATAGCGGCCATTGGAGGGTGAACCAATGGAAGGAACACCTTTCTCTCTGTCTCTCTCTAACTCTGTCGAATAAATAAATAAATAAAAAGTCATACTGCTAATTAAATTAGCCTGGTAGATCACACACAGGTAGCTAGACAGATATGATTTATTAAAAAAAATAGACATGGTGGTAGGAAGCCATAAATACGTGAGGCTTGTCTACTGACCCTTTGACCAGAGGGAGCAAGCAGGAATAGAATGAAGATTCATGAAACAGGGATGAAAGAAAAAATACCCTCAAGTCAGGGAAAATATCCATTAAGATGATGAGGCCACAAGAATTATGTGAGGAAAGACAAAGCTAGCAAAGCTTGTTTTCAGGAGGCTGGGGTCTCTGTACTTGAAGTGGTAACAGGAGGCCAGGGTGGCATGTGAAAGTGAAGGCATGAGCTAGAAGCCAATGAAAACTAAATTGACTCACTTCACTTATCGGAAGTATGGCCACTTTCTATAGAGAATTCCTACTACAAAGTCTTTATTCATAAATCATGAGCAAAGTCTTTAAAAATACTACATAGAAGAAAATATGCTCTTTGAGTTGAAAACACTATTTCTCTAAAATGTTTTCCCAAATCATTTATATCCCTAATGGTATTTCCTATTACACAAACCCCAATCTAAATATTCAAGAAGGAAATGGAAAAAGTTAAAAGTAAAATTCTTATAGATGTAGGTTAAAATGTTATAAAATAATAGAATGTAGAATACATATTATATGCAAAATACTTCATCAGCTATCATGAGAATACTATTAGTCCTAACAGAAATAGAATCATACATAAAAAGTTGAATTCCAGTTTTAGCAACCGAAAGACAAAACTTTTAAGTCAAAATACCCTTGAATTATCATTTAAGAAACAGAAATCTTATTGATGTGAATATTTTAAGTACTCAAAATATAATGCATGCTATGAATGCTCTCAGTAAAAGCAAGAAATGTTTAGAAAATTCTTACTTTCCAACATCTAAGGAGCATAAAGAAGAAAAATAAAAAACTAGCCACATTAGTAAAATATTTTGTTAAACTTGTCTTAGTATTCAACTTAAATATTTTCTGTAAATTCTAATATTCTCTGATATATTCAGATATTAAGTATGAAATAATATTTACCCTATAAGTATACACAATTTTACATACCAGTTAAAATTAAAAATTAACTAAATTAATTAATAAAATAGGAGGTAATTCTTTATATTGGGCAGGGTAAGACTTCAATCATGACCCTCTCAATTCTCTGACCTCAAATTATCTAATCTGCCTTGTTCTTACTAGTAAGAGAAAGATGACATTATTCAGGCATCAAATAGAATAATTCTTATAAAGTTCTTAGCATTGTGCTCAGCATTAGATATTACTATTACAATAAAATATTGGTAATATCTCAAAATTTCAAAACATTACAGAGACTTTTATATTCTTTTTTTTTTTTGGACAGGCAGAGTGGACAGTGAGAGAGAGACAGAAAGAAAGGTCTTCCTTTGCCATTGGTTCACCCTCCAATGGCCGCCGCGGCCGGCGCACTGTGGCCAGCACACCACACTGATCTGATGGTAGGAGCCAAGTGCTTCTCCTGGTCCCCCATGGGGTGCAGGGCCCAAGGACTTGGGCCATCCTCCACTGCACTCCCTGGCCACAGCAGAGCTGGCCTGGAAGAGGGGCAACCGGGACAGAATCCGGTGCCCCGACCGGGACTAGAACCCGGTGTGCTGGCGCCGCAAGGCGGAGGATTAGCCTAGTGAACCGCAGCGCCGGCCAACTTTTATATTCTTTAATCTTCAGAAATAACATTGCTGTAGTAAAAAAAAAATTTAAATGCCAGAATTAGGACATAAGATTGGCCTAGCAGTTACTGTGCTCAGATTTCATATCACGAGTGCCTGGGTTAAAGTCCTGGCTCCACTTTTAATTCCAGGTCCCTACTTATGGGTACCCTGAGAAGCACCAGGTGATATACTAAGCAGTTGGGTTCCTCCTACCTGTTTGGAATCCTCAGATTAAGTTCTTGGCTCCTGACTTCAGCCTGGCCTGGCACAAGTTATTGAAGGCATTTGAGAAGTGAACCAGCAGATAGAAATTCTCTCTCTCTCTCTCTTTCTGTTTGTGTATATATGTGTGTCTGTCTCTCTCTCTGACTTTGTCTCTCTCAAATAAATTAAATAAATACATAAAAAAAAATTGAAAACACCAAAATCTCTGGAAATTTGGACAGGACCTGTTACCACTGATACCTCTGGGAACAGAAACTGGCAGATGGGACATAGTGTGAGAGGCAGAATTTTCACAGGCTTTTTAACCAACATGTAGATTTTAAAATTCATACCATGTAACTGTATCACAATCTTTCTTAAAGTAACCACATTTTAGAAATCAAGTATAGTCAAATTCAGGAAGCAATGGCAAAGATACTGTCAAAGAAATTCTAGACAGTGAGGGGAAAAGGTAAAAGTAAAATGTCACTCCTAATGTTGAGAAAAATTAACAACACACAGCAAATAATGTCTCAAACAAACATACAGAAAAGTAACTCCTCACACTGTTGCATACACATACAGCTTGCCTGCCTGCCTCTCTCACTCTCTTTCTCTCTCTCTCACCTCCCTCCTTCCTTGCCTCTATCTCTCTCTCCCTCCCTCCCACCCTCCCTCCTTCCTTACTGACACTCCAGTAATACATATCCATATCTCAATGAATCTTTGCATAGGGATTCACATTTCACTGCATTTCCTCACTTAATAATATTCATGAATTTAAAAAAATCTGATAAAGCTGAAAGATTTATTTGGATAAGATCAAGGACATAATTGAAAAAGTTGGATTGTATGTCAGTCATAGATATAAAGGACAAAACTTTGAAAACATCCCAGCATGCTATTATCGTTTTTAAATATCAAAAAAAGATCAGATTACTTTAACAAATATAGAATAAGGAATTAGTCTATACACTAACCTGTGAGGCAAAGTTAAAACTGAAGTAATGCATTCAAGATTCAGGAAAAGACAGCAATGATGAAAGCAGCCAACCAATTTTGACAGCGCACTATGGATACAATACCTTCTCACCATATCCTCTCCGTTCCAGCAGGGCACCCCCTCAGCAGCAGCTAATTCATTAATACAAAGCTGATCAGCCAGGACTCCATAGAAGGACCTGTACAGTCTCAGGCTGTTGATAAATTCTCTGAAGGGAAGAAAAAAGAAAATCATTAAAACTAAAAATCCATAATAAATGTTAAAATAAAGGCATACGTTCTTATGCCTATAGAACTTTTAAAATACTCTCTACTAACTTTCACACATTTGAAAGATATTTCTCATAATCCAGAAAAAAAAATTATGCTTAAAAAATAAAAATGCTAGTAAGTGAATCTATTCTTTGAACAAAAGATTTCACTGGGTATGAATCTTGGTCTAAGAGATTGTGACTAGTACAGATGGGTGCACACACACACACAACACATACACAGGGATAACACTTTACTTAAACTACTGAGAAGTCCTCACTAACTGCTCGTATCTAAATAATGATACTAATTATTTTCTTTTGCATCTAAAAAATGTCAGATTTACAGCATTCTAATTGATTTCTTACTAATTAAAACTTTAGTAGACTCGAGTTATTTTCCTATCTGGTTCTTCTCTTTGGTATCAAAGAACATAAATTAATGTGACTTCACTAAATATGACCCCAAAACCCAGATATGTAAGATATTTCAAAGCATGAAAATAAAGTTACTGTAGGAATTCCTTAAAATATTAACAAAGACATTTTCCCTCCCACAATACTTCCCTGCCTCCTATCAATGATAAGAAGAAAATAAAACATAGCAAACAGAAATTGAAAGAATTTTTCACTACTCATCTAGTCCTGCAAACAATGCTTAAAAATGTGTTACACACAGAAACACAGAAACATGGTCATTGATAAAAAAGAAGGTAAAGAAAGAAAATCTCTCAGTAAAAGATCACAGGAAGTTCAAAGCATATATTAGAAATATCTCTGGGAAAATGGCAGGGTAAAGTCACTACTTATCAATAGTCACATTGAATATTAATGGCCTCAACTCTCCAGTTAAAAGACATAGACTGGCTGAATGGATTAAAAAACAAAACAATCTATATGCTGCTTACAAGAAACACATCGTTCCAACAAAGATGTATGCAGACTGAAAGTGAAAGGCTGGAAAAAGATATTCCATGTCAACAGAAATGAAAAAAAGAGCTGGCAAAGCCATCTTAATATCAGATAAAATAAACTTTAACACAAAAACTGTTAAGAGAGACAAAGAGGGGCACTATATAATGATTAAGGGATCAATTCAACAGGAAGATGTAACTATTATAAATGAATATGCACCTAATTACAGAGCACTGGTTATTTAAAAGATACGCTAAAAAAACTTAAAGGGAGGCCGATGCTGTGGCTCACTTGGCTAATCCTTTACCTGTGGTGCCAACACCCTGGGTTCTAATCCTGGTTGGGGCGCTCCGATTCTGTCCTGGTTTCCCCTCTTCCAGTCCAGCTCTCTGCTGTGGCCTGGGAGGACAGCAGAGGATGGCCCAAGTGCTTGGGCCCTGCACCCACATTGGAGACCAGGAGGAAGCACCTGTCTCCTGGCTTCAGAGAGGCACAGTGCACCAGCCATGGCAACTTTTGGGGGATGAACCAACGGAAGGAAGAACTTCCTGTCTTTCTCACTTTCTCTGTCTAACCACGCCTGTCAAAAACAAACAAACAAACAAACAAACAAAAACCTTAAAGGGAGTCTTAGTCTTAGACTCCAATACAATAGTATTGGGGACTTCAATACACTACTTTCAGCAATAGATCAACCAGACAGAAGATCAACAAGAAAACAAAAGATTTAATGGACACTATAGACCAAATGGATCTAACAGATATCTACAGAACTTTTCATCCTACACTTAAAGAACAGACATTCTTCTCAGCATTACATGGACCCTACTCTAGGACTGATCATATACTATGCCACAAAGCAAGTCTCAGCAAATTTTAAAAAATCGAAATCATATCATGCATCTTCTCAGACCACCATTGAATGAAGCTGGAAATTAGCAACTCAGGAATCCCTAGAGCATATGCAAACACATGGAGACTGAACAAATGCTCCTGAATGAACATTGGGTCATAGAAGAAATCAAAACAGAAATCAAAAATTTTCTGAAAGTAAATTAGGATAACAACACAACATATCAAAATCTATGGGATACAACAAAAGCAGTGTTTAGAGGAAAGCTTATAGCAGTAGGTGCCTACATCAAGAAATTGGAAAGGCACAAAACAAATGAGCTATCAATGCATTTCAAGAATCTAGAAAAACTGAAGCAAACCAGACCCAAAACTAGTAGGAGAAGAGAAATAATTAAAAGTAGGGAAGAAATCAACAAAATTGAATCCAAAAAAAAAAAACATTAAAAAAGATTACAAAACGAAGAGCTGGTTTTTTCAAAAAAATAAACAAAATTGATACAACATTGGCCCAACTAACACAAAATGGAAATGACCCAAATCAATAAAATCAGAGAAGAAATAGGAAATGTAACAACAGATACCACAGAAATAAAAATAATCATCAGAAATTATTACAAGGACTTGTATGCCAGCAAACAGGAAAATCTATCAGAAATGGATAGATTCCTGGACACATGCAATCTATCTAAATTGAACCATGAAGACACAGAAAACTTAGACCTATAACTGAGACAGAAATTGAAACAGTAACAAAGACCCTCCCAACAAAGAAAAGTTCAGGACCAGATGAATTCACTGCTGAATTCTACCAGACATTTAAAGAAGAACTAATGCCAATTCTTCTCAAAATATTCAGAACAATCGAAAAAGAGGGAATCCTTCCAAATTCTTTCTATGAAGTCAACATAACCTTAATTCCTAAACCTGAAAAAGATACAGCAGAGAAAGAGTATTACAGAACAATTTCCCTGATGAACATAGGTGCAAAAATCCTCAATAAAATTCTGGCCAATAGAATGCAACAACACATCAGAAAGATCATCTACCCAGACCAAGTGGGATTTATCCCTGTTATGCAGGGATGGTTCAGTGTTCACAAATCAATCAATGTGATACACCACATTAACAAACTGCAGAAGAAAAATCATATGATTATCTCAATAGATGCAAAGAAAGCATTCAATAAAATACAATACCCTTTCATGATGAAAACTCTAAGCAAACTGGGTTTGGAAGGAACATTCCTCAATACAATCAAAGCAATCTATGAAAAACCCACAACCAACATCCTATTGAATGGGGAAAAGTTGGAAGCATTTCCACTGAGACCTGGTACCAGACAGGGATGCCCACTCTCACCACTGCTATTCAATATAGTTCTTGAAGTTTTAGACAGAGCCATTAGGCAAGAAATAGAAATTGAAGGGATACAAATTGGGAAGGAAGAAGTCAAACTATCCCTCTTTGCAGATGATAGGATTCTTTATTTAGGGGATCCAAAGAACTCTACTAAGAGACTATTGGAACTCATAGAGGAGTTTGTCAAAGTAGCAGGATATAAAATCAATGCACAAAAATCAACAGCCTTTGTATACACAGGCAATGCCACGGCTGAGGAAGAACTGCTAAGATCAATCCCATCCACAAAAGCTATAAAACAATCAAATATCTTGGAATAAACTAAACCAAGGATGTCAAAGATCTCTATGAGTTGAATTACTAAATTTTACAGAAGAAAATAGAAGAGGATACCAAAAAATGGAAAAAGCTTCCACGCTCATAGATTGGAAGAATCAATATCATCAAAATGTCCATTCTCCCAAAAGCCATTTATAGATTCAATTTGATACCAATCAAAATACCAAAGGCATTATTCTCAGATCTGGAAAAAATGATGCTGAAATTCATAGGGAGACACAGGAGACCTTGAATAGCTAAAGCAATCTTGTACAACAAAAACAAAGCCGGAGGCATCACAATACCAGATTTCAGGACATACTACAGGGCAGTTGTAATCAAAACAGCATGGTACTGGTACAGAAACAGATGGATAGACCAATGGAACAGAATTGAAACACCAGAAATCAATCCAAACATCTACAGCCAACTCATATTTGATCAAGGGTCCAAAACCAATCCCTGGAGTAAGGACAGTCTATTCAACAAATGGTGCTGGGAAAACTGGTTTTCCACATGTACAAGCATGAAGCAAGACCCCTACAATACACCTTACACAAAAATCCACTCAACATGGATGAGAGATCTAAATCTATGACCCGACACCATCAAATTATTAGAGAACATTGGAGAAACCCTGCAAGATATAGGCACAGGCAAAGACTTCTTGGAAAAGACCCCAGAGGCACAGGCAGTCAAAGCCAAAATTAACAATTGGGATTACATCAAATTGAGAAGTTTCTGAACTGCAAAAGAAACAGTCAGGAGAGTGAAGAGGCAACCGACAGAATGGGAAAAAATATTTGCAAACTATGCAACCGATTAAGGGTTAATAACCAGAATCTACAAAGAGATCAAGAAACTCCCCAACAACAAAACAAACAACCCACTAAAAGATGGGCCAAGGACCTCAACAGACATTTTTCAGAAGAGGAAATCCAAATGGCCAACAGACACATGAAAAAATGTTCAGGATCACCAGCCATTAGGGAAATGCAAATGAAAACCACAATGAGGTTTCACCTCACCCCGGTTATAATGGCTACATACAGAAATCAACCTACAACAGATACTGACAAGAATGTGGGAGAAAAGGCTTACTAACCCACTGTTGGTGGGAATACAAACTGGTAAAGCCACTATGGAAGTCAGTCTGGAGTTTCCTCAGAAACCTGAATATAGCCTACCACATGACTCAGCCACCCCACTCCTTGGAATTTACCCAGAGGAAATTAAATTGGCAAATAAAAGAGCTGTCTGCACCTCAATGTTTATTGCAGCTCAATTCACAATAGCTAAGACATGGAATCAAACTAAATGCCTATCAATAGAGGACTGGATAAAGAAATTTTGGGATATGTACTCTGTAGAATACTATATAGCAGTAAAAAACAATGAAATCCAGTCATTTGCAACAAAATGGAGGAATCTGGAAAACATCATGCTGAGTGAAATAAGCCAGTTCCAAAGGGACAAATATATGTTCTCCCTGATCAGTGACAACTGAGCAC